AAATGGCTTATGGACTTTTGCAAACTGAAATTTCAAAATTTTAATGAAATTTGGCTGTTTATCAATGGATAATTTGCTGTATAAAACATACTTTACGATAATTAATGTTTTTTTAAAACAATAGTACTATAAAACGCATGATTTTTCGTAATGCTGAATTTAAAGGGAACCAATACAGGCATAAAGTAAATAATGTAACATAAATTTAATTATATGGTTTTATTTAAGTATTTACAATTAACTAACAATAAATCTATAAGTCGTACCATCAATTAATTTATAACAGTAACTAATTAAAATTTATCACTCACAATTTATAACGTAACAAGAACACATTGATGTAGGAACTGTCCTGAAACTTCGCCTGAAACGCAATTCGATTTGCTTAATAACCCGAGTTTTCTCGAGTCTGTTCAAATGTGTAGAACAAAAACACGTCATAATTCGAGGAAAGATTACGTCACATCCGCGTTCGTTCCTTTATCGCCGATGACTAATCTTTCATGGCGCCTCAAAGTCTATCGAGATTTCTGGAATGTTCGCTACAGTAGCTTAAAGATATTCCATGCTGTACAAATCTGTAGCAGTAAGATAGACTATTCTTGAACATAGATAGGCGCTCCCTTATTTCATTCAGGAATATTGCACTAAATTCACTGCCTGGTTAGGTTTTTAACACAGCTCACTGACAGTAGAATGTATTGAATGAGACGTTCTATTCAAAATGTCTTAATTAATGAAATTTATTGACCAAGCGTCTCAAATAAAAGGGAAGCACTCTATGGTCTCATATTTTGTTGGTGATCACAAAGAAACTGTAAACTAACTTGTAACTTGTTTAAATACATACAAATAAATGATTGCTCAATTCCAATTGTCAAGAAAAACCAATTTACATTTTATGGAATTGTAATGCACGTATAGGGTATACACAACCAACAATCACTTTAGTACTCGTTCATGTCCATTGCGCATGACTTAATATGTTGCGCGTATTGTTCATCCATCTTTTATTTAGGTCAGTGATCTACTCTAGGAATTGCTCCCTTCGTTGTCAGAGCCAGGGCGACCAGTTAATTCCAGGTTAAGTGGCAACAAGCAACTGGACTCGGACAGTCCAGGACCCTTGGTAAATCTAGGTCTTCTAGCTTATAAAACTGAATAGAAGCCAGATTAGGGAGATCACCAGTATGCTCACGGGGTACTGACTACTGGATAGTCCCCTATCACAACGTTGGGCTTTTAAGAGAGCCCACTTACAGGTTCTGTGGCGAGGCAGATAAAACTACACGACATGTGGTCTGTCACTGTTACGCTTTAATCAGAGAGACATCACAGCTCCTAGGCGACAGTCTGGAACTGGGAAGAGTGCAGCAACTTAGGCTAAAGAGGTTCCTATCCATTACTGAGAGGAGTGGGTTCTAAACCTATAGTTGTAAAAAAAAGAGGGTAGACAGAATGAGCCTTCAGTGTGTCTGCCTGGTTGGGCTCCCCTTATGAATAGAATAGAATGAAATGCATTTCTCATATGTTTTACATATAGATGTATCATGCGACCGCTAATGTCGTGTTTGTGAGGACGATACCAGATATCTACAATTAAAGAATCGTTTCAAGTCACTTCATCCATGCGCCATTTTAAAACAATTGCCGTTAAACCTATACCCACTAGCACATTTCGCAAAAATATACGCAAGAGTATTTGGAGAACAATTTTTTCTGAGGATATTGTACAAAATCCATTTTTGCATAATTAGTAGAAACGTAACAACATTGCAACAGATCTATTTTTATAATATGAATCTGTTTTGTAAATGTACAAATTATACAGCTTCCAAAAAAGGCTGCAAAATAGCATGGGATTTTAATGTGGGATGTGCAGTCAACATGTCACATTACAATAATTTATAGCCGTGTAATATGTTTGATATAAACCTACCATGATGGATACTAACTTTCTTTGAGAAGAAAAAAACATTTTTTTTAAATTTATTTTGCCAACATCAATCAAACTGCTACTATGAGAATAAGGCCATACAACATACATACGCATACTTACAGGTGGTGTTTTAGCGGCCAGATCTCTATTTAACCTCTCATTGAAACCCTGAATGTTGGAATTGCCTCCAGTCACGACCACACTTCCATACATGGCCTATAAAAAACGATTAAGTTCTTAACATTTTTTAAAGATCTTACAGGTCTAATATCAATATCGCACATTCCCACACTGGTCGTTACTAACGGACCAACACCTAAAATCGGTTGAATACCAGCCTTAGCGCTCGTGGTCGGATTGAACAGCGGTTCCGGAATCTTGAAGCGCTCAACGCCAAAATCCTTATGAAAACCGTGCGGAAATTCGTAATGTATTGCGGGCATACTTTTCACAACCTCCTCGTCGTACAAGTTATCAGATACTTGAAGAACTGAAGCTTGAAAATCTTGCATCACTTCCTAAGAAAATCTTATTCAGTGCACAATATAAACAAACTAAACAAATTCATATCATTTTCAATTTTATTTTGTATCATAGTGATTTCCTCCCAATTGAATCAGCTTTTTTATGTCAAGGAGTACATAAAAAAATTAGTTTTGTGAGATTGACGAGGTAAGATTGAAATTGTCCGATTCCAGTGAGCTAGTTGGTGCAACCCATATTTTGATACATTTTTGCACATAATTTTCTGATTACCTATTTATATTTAATAAGGAAGTTTCAAATATAATATTTATCACGGGTATTTATCATATTAATTAAGGAATTTAGAAGAATTAATAATAATAATATTCAGGAAGGTGATTATGTGCTGAATGGTGCATGATTGGGGACAACAATAGAGAACCTTATGTTTAAAACCTTGTTAGTTATTACTCAAGAGTCTTTCATTGTGAATGTTGTTTACAATTAAAACTTTAAAGCTTTCTTTTTGTCAGATTAAACAAAAGTAAGGAGTTACGTATCTTAGGGTAACATCATATGCCTATAATAATCGCGTAGTATTTAGTATTTTATTGTTCATTTGAAAATATTTGCGTGAAATGTTTTGTAAGTTTATCTCATGTTATCTCCGGTCATTGCAATAAGAAATTTGTTATCGCTGCGTAAGTTAATTAGTTTCAAGATAAGCATAAACATGTGTTTAATTTCGAAGACGCAAATTCAAATAGGGGAGAGGCAGAAACTAAAAGAAGGAAAGATGTTTTAAATAGCATAGGAAAAAGTGAATCGTAGGATTTTTTCGTGGTATTATTCCAAGACAGTCTGTTTTTCCAGTTGTAAAATGTTGTAGAAGAAAGTTATTCAAGTACTCTGAGATATTTTTGTTACACCGTTTAAAATGAACGTAAAATGAACTCTTAAATAAGGTCCTATGTGAATGGATTTGTTTTCATGAAACATGAAAGATCAGGCTTGAGACTGAGGCAAATAGCTCATACCTTCACCATATAATTATGCCATGACTCTGTGACTTTAGGTAGGCAAGTCTTAATCTTCCAACTCGCAGGTTCGTCCGGTTTCGTCAGTTCTTTACTCGAAATCATATATGGGGGAATAATGTCAATGTTTTTCTCCTCCAAGTAATGTCGACACTGCATGCTAATATAGTCACCTCCGACAGGTGATTTGACAACTGCGTGCGTGAGAATAATCCTAAAATTTAAATTGGCAAGAATATTAGACCATACCACTTTTACCCGTCGAGAAGAGGAACTGCCGAAGTGTGTGTAGCACCACTGTCGACAACTAGACATGTAGGTCGTCCATTAGCAAATGCAGCCAGTGCTGCATTCTTTGCTAGGTATAGTGCTGGCACTTTGTATTTTTCAAACATTAGTTCTGCCATTTGTTCACGCTTCGGTGGAGTTATCCACTACAAAAAGCTTTGGTATAAACTAGTATAAAACATACTATTTACCGGTGGTTCAGAGATTAAAATGGGATGGTCGCAAGGTACAGCCCCCAGAGCATGTTTATAAATATAGTCTGTTAAATTCTCAAACATATCCCAATTATCAACCATTCCCTCTTTTAAAAATGGGACCAACTCCATACCTGGCCAAATAAGAATCTACAAACAATTACATAGGTTGATAAACAAGATACCTGGTCGCTTAACGTGAATGGCAGTCAGGCCAATGTTGTATTTGTATCGGGGCTCACCCACATCATCTTGCGAATCTGCCCAAATACCAATGTTACTGGGTATATCCAATATAGGGCTGTCTTCACCACCATAACCAGCACGGACTGTATTATGACCAATATCTAAGACCAATGCACCGACTTCGTCTGAAAACAATTCTGATTAAGGACACACAAAGGACTATCTATACATACCTCCACCATAAATTGCACCACTCATATTATCGATTATAACTATCCTAATGTTTGTTTGAAATTTAAAAATGTATACAACAACCGCATAATCACATGGAAGGATGGGGGCGTGGGACTCAATAGAATGACAGCACAAACATGCGGGAAATTTAAAAATTCACACTTCATGTTTTGGATCAATAGTTTTACCATTTTGAAGTAAAACCTACATGTCGCATTTATATTCATTCATTTAATATATAGCCAAATAAAATATTAAGTACAAGTAAAAATGACTTGAGAGATACGAAGTCCATTAAAGCTCTATTTCCACACCTCAAACATGAGTGCATATAAAGTAAAGAAGTGCAGTTCACCAATTTTTCAATTAAATATAGCTATGGACTACCTAATTCCATTGTTTATTCATAAACAAAGCTAATGCAGTATGCTGCAGATAGTTTGATTATACGCACTTGTGTATATTTTGCCATACACTGTGGACATCTTTATAAATTCACCTAAATTTTTAAAAATATGGGTACATGCTCTGCACGTCATTATCATCGATAACTAATCAATTATTGCATATAATCAATGATCTTTATACAGTACCAATTTGTAGAATGCGTCCAATACAAATCCGCTAAATGCGGCTATTTATTGTGCAGCTAAGCTAACTTCATGAAAATTTAGATCGTTACTAACTTTACAACGATCGATTATTTCCCAAATAGCTTCGGGACACTTGTGAAAACTAAAAATGTCTATAATAAATTCTTTAATGCCTAGAATGTGTACACGCTTTGGCAAAAAGCACGCAGAAATGGCTTCGCATTGGTATGTCTTTTACACTTCCGAACAAATTTGTTATGTAACATTTTTAGGATTGGAACTGGTGCTGCCTATGGAGCTACTGCAGGACTAGCACTCTGTTATTTTACCGAATGGAAAGCAGTTTTACAATATCTACCGTACTATGGTGGCAAATATGTAGAATCGGATTAGTTTGGTTGTAAATAAAATAGTTAATGTAGATAATTACTTTAATATTTATACATGCGACATTACATTTCAATTACATTTTGTGGTAGTGTGGAAATGAGTCTTTTCGAGGGTAGGTAGTTGGACCCTGACATTTCATTTACCATCTTTGATTGGGTCTTTCTGTCCTGCAATAAAATATGGTTTTGCAATATATCCAATTACATGTAATCCCAAAGCAATTCCTAATATCAGCTTTAATTTATTATAATTTCCTTTAGGTCTAATCATAATTATCTTCCAACGCTGTTAGAAATTCAAAATGTAATAAGTCAGGAGTGATTTTATACAACCCTGGTAAGGTTA